TTGTCCCATTCATTCTAAGTGGTTTTACACATGATCCATAGACATCTATTTAACTTCTCAACCGTAAAGGATTTAAACTGTACTAGGTTTTTTATGTGATTAAGTGATTAGTTTTGTGTGTATGAAATATGAATGGGTTTGGAATTGACCTTTTTCTTTGTTTATGGGTTAGTGTTGGATTTCAGTGCCCATTGATTTGTCTTTAAGGTCTTATTTCTTAATTATGAAAACTAGGTCATGTTATCATTTTCTTTTCTCATTTGATTTCATGAAATGCTTCATTTCTAGTGTTATAATTTTCTATTGATTTCATCAAGTTTGATATGAATTTGCTCGAGTATGCCTGTACTCATCTGTTTTGCAATGAGGGTTTAGTTGTTGGAAGTGAACAAATCTCCTCGGAAAAAGAAGTGCACAATTTTCTCTGTATTAGGTGCTAAGGTCAGAGAGATCTTTGGAGTAGGTGCCTCTTATATTACAGTTAAGGAAATCATTTGCTTGCTTGCCTGGATGCGAAGGGACTTTTAGTCTATGACTAGATTCATAATTTTCCGTAGCTCAACAATCGCACCTTCTTTTCTTTTTTGTGGCTGTGGTTGTTTTTTGCCATGTCATTTGAATACCCAAAATGTTCGTAATCTTGTCTTTTTTTGTTGACCCCATCTTTTTCCATTTGTTTTGCAGATACTACATCCCAGGTTGCATCTAAATAGATTTGACTTGGTTATTACCCCTAAGCACGATTACTATCCTTTGACTCGTGAAGCACAACAGCAGGTTCCTCAATTTATTCGTAAGTGGATAACTCCACGTGAACCTCCTGACAGTCATGTGGTATGTATGATGATCTTATTATTTGCATGCATTTGATATATTTAAGAAACTTTAACCTTCTTAAATATCAACTGCTCTTAGTACTTTGAAAGTTGAAGCTATTTTAATTTCCTTCCCCCCTCCCTCCCTCTCCCCCAACAAGCTATGACATACTAAAAACTTCTAAATAAGGTCCTCACTGTTGGAGCTTTACATCAAGTGGATGCTGGTTCACTTCGTAATGCAGCTAGTGCATGGCGTGATGAGTTTGCACCTTTGCCAAAACCTTTACTTGTGGTGAACATTGGTGGCCCAACAGGTAATATTTTGTTGCACTCTGGATCTTTGTTGCTTTATGGTTTACAGGATTGACAAATAAGTATTTGACTGCTAGGTCATGATTGCTATTATACTGTTTTTGAATTTAAAGGCCTGCTTCATGTTAGGTTAGATTAAGCTGTTTATTTTGCTTATAGTCATAGTATAAAATAGTGGAAATAACATGATACTGACCCCTGTCTTTTAAAGTCACCAAATGGCCATGTAGCTAGCTAGGAAAGAGAGTTCAAAGTATATACTTACTAATTTATGCATGAGCTAGTGCTATCCTACCAGAAAATGTTGATTCATGTTGTGAAGTTTGCGACTTTTTTAGAAAAAATGCATTCCTTTGATATAGTAAGTGACTTATGTTGTGTGGCATACCTTTTTGTTTTGTTTATTTTCACCAGCCCAAATTTTACTCCAAATTTATACTAAGAAGGATAATGCAAGAGTTGTTTTGTATGTCTGTTTTATTGTGATTTGTCTGAATCTCAAAGTTGAAATTATTATGGCAGAGTACAGAAATGTAGGTATACTGAAGATATTTTAGTTTCTTTTATGTTACAGAGATTTCTGTTGCACATTAGTGATTCGAGAGTTAATAGAGAGCTGATTTCTTTGATGAATATTAGATCATTCATTTTCTGAGTTTTCAAGAATTTTGGGAACAACTTGTTCTGATCCTACTTTGTTAATTTTGTTTGGAGCGGCCCACGTATTCCTGTTAGGGCTTGTATGATGTGTATCCTTTTTTTTTTCCTTTAATAGGCAATTGTCGTTATGGTGCGGACCTTGCAAGGCAATTGACAACCAATCTGCTTAGTGTTCTTGATAGCTGTGGGAGTATCAGAATATGTTTCTCTAATAGGACTCCTGAAAAGGTGTTGCTACGGATGTACATATTCTTACTTTGGTTTGTACTTTGTAGTGGTACTAATTGTTTTCCTTTTGCTCGTCTACAGGTATCTAATGTTATATTGAAAGAGCTTGGTGGTAATCCAAAAGTTTACATCTGGGATGGTCAAGGTATCATGTGAAATTTAATCATTTGGCTTTCAGGTCAAGTCTTATCTTTGATATGAATTGGGGTGTTAGTGCTGTACTGATAAATATTTTGGTTCCCAGAGCCAAACCCGCACCTGGGCCATTTAGCCTGGGCCGATGCATTTGTTGTCACTGCAGATTCTGTCAGTATGATAAGCGAGGTTTGCAGCACTGGGTATGATTGAGGAAATTACATCTGTATTGATGATATTTTCTTTATTGTATTTTTTATTTAAGCATATTAATTTTGTCTCTGCATATTTCCAGGAAGCCTGTCTATATTATGGGAGCTGAGCGATGTACATGGAAGTTCTCAGAGTTCCATAAATCACTTAAGGATCGAGGAGTAGTTCGGCCGTTTACAGGTTCTGAGAATGTAAGTAAAAACTAATTTGTTTTGGTAACTTTTCCATACAAGTTGGCAGATTACAGAAGGATGCCCTTCTTAGGATTGCATTGTTCTTTCATCGTTCTCTGTCAACATAGACGTCATTTTCTCCCCTTGTAGACACACATACACACACAGATTCTCAGTAGTGGTGCTAAAAAAATTGCTTTGTTATCCATTCCAAAGGATTATACCAAAACCGAGGAAATATTTCTTGTTTTCACACATTGTAATGGTGGATTTTGGCATGAAAGGTGAGGATAAAGCCTTTTTCTCTTCTTTGGAACGTTTATGGGCCATTATAGTTTTAAAGTCTCACACTTTTTCGTTTCTTGGTGGAATCACAAATGTCCGACTTCAGTTCGCTAATAATGATAATATGTGCATTTGGAAAGCTTGGAACTTCCTTATACTTTGACAAACCTTCCGTGAAATAAATTCTTTGTACTGAATAAAGATTTATATATTGGTCTCAAGCATACTTTCTGCTTTTCTCAATCTTATGATCTTCGGTGCTTTGAATATTTTGACAGATTTCAGAGAGCTGGAGTTACCCTCCGCTCAATGAAACCGCAGAAGCAGCTAGTCGAGTGCACAAAGCACTTGCGGAGCGTGGATGGAGATTGCGACCATAGGAAGTGAGTTGATAACCTTTTTAATTGTAAACACACTCAAATCTTATGTTAAGAGATAGACCCATTGAAAGTTAGGTTTTTTGTGATAGCACCGTATAGGAATGACGGCTAAAGGCTGTTGTAGCTCTTATCTTTGATTCTTCCCCTTTCGGGGGTCTTGAGACGAGACTAAAGGCTTTCTGTAATTGTGCGGCTTGTAAATTTTGAAGAGGGGCGAGTGTTTCTTTTGTCTAAAGGTGGGATGGTTCTCTACCCATTAGTGTAGATAATATCGTATGTTCAAAAAAAAAAAAAAAGTGGGATGGTTCTTGTTCTGAAAAGAATTCATCTGTAATTTAAAAGTGGTTTATTAGATTCTGTTTGATTTACAATTACTTGGAGGAATATAACCAAATTTCACTAGCTAACATACTTCTTTACATGCACCGTGACCTGTTTGGTTATCTACAGATTTTATCAAATTGTTCTTTCGCGAGCCAGCTTTTTTTACCCTGAGGTATTTGTTGATTTGCCCTTTGAATTTGTATGGAGTTGCCTGAACTTTAATTTTAGCCGATTACCCTCTTGAACTTTTATAATTAGCTAATTTCCCATTTGAACTTTAATTTTAGCCGATTACTCCCTGAACTTTTATAAATAGCCAATTCTCCATATTTTGAAACCTTTCATTCAATTTTTAATCCATTCAATTTTCCATGTGATCAAGATGGATGGAAAATTGGATGAAAATTTTAAAATCCAATTATGGAGGAAATTGGCTTATTAAAAAAGTTCAGGAGGGTAATCGGCTCCAATTAAAGTTCAAGAAGAAATTGACTAATTATAAAAGTTCTAAGGAATAGGCTTAAAATTAAAGTTCAAGCAGTTTTATACTAGTTCAGAAGCAATCGACCAATATACTTTTTTACTTTTACCTTTTAAGATTGGATTTTGATTTGGCGGGACCCGGTCTGTTTGCTTCACCCCCAAGATTGAAAACGAGTAATTGATTTGGTCCGGTATAGGTTTGGTCCTGTCAATTTTATTCGGGTTAGATTTCTTCCATCATCCCTTGAAGTCCAAACTAAAAATCCAGCTCCGGTCCACGAATCCACCAACGATGTCTAACAGGAAGAGTGGATAACGGGTTAGAGGCGTGGATGCAGGTCGCGAAGTGGATGACAGGTTCGAGGCGTGCATCGAGGTTGCGAGGCCGTGAGGGAGACGGGGATGTTGAGATTGTGATGGAGGAGAGTGAGATCGTGAGGGAAATGATGACTCAAAAAATTAGGAGAGTAAAGATCGTTAAAATGTAATGAGGCATTTTGCTTCTCTTTATTTTCTTTTTTAAATTATAGAGGAGTGCACGATAACTTTTCAGAACGTGTAATAACGGCTTCCTTCTTCAAATGTCATATATTTTCAAGTCTCATGCAAATTAATTCATAGAAACCTTAACATGAATTTAAATAACGATATTTGATGATCTCATTGCTGATTAATCATCCCACCAATGACTTGATCCATCAACCAATATACTAACATATATTAAACACTACTAATTAAGTGGGGATTACACTCGCAGCATGATCATACATATCAAACTTAATGCTTTAGCTAGGGTAATGTACGTAATTAAACACTTTGATTAGCATTTTCCCATGATGTTGCTTAATTAGTGGAGCAAGTGAGCTTTTGGCAACAACTCCTGTTCCTCAAGTCATCTTCTAATTAAAAACAACATTAAAACTAATGCATTAATTAATCACTGCATATCCCTATATAAACCCCATCCCCAGCATTCCTTTGATCATACAAAATCATTTCAATTTCTGCATCTGATAATATGGAATCGAAAAAGAGTGGAGAAGTAGTAGCCATTAGTACCGGGGAAAAGGCGAATTACAGTGCCAAAGGAAAGGCTGCTGAAGGTGCTCCTCCTCCTGCTGCTGCTGCGGTCACCGCAAAAGTTACCAAAATCAGGACTATGGGAGGAGGATGGAAAAAGGGTCTGGCGATCATAGACATTGTGCTGCGGCTCGGTGCCGGTTCAGCTGCTGTTGCTGCGGCTTACACTGCAGGGAATACTGAACAGATTCTTCCTTTCTTCACACAGTTCTTCCAGTTCCATGCTCAGTACAATGATCTTCCAACTTTCACGTACGAAAAAATATTTATATGCTTCGTTTAAATTGCGAAATCTCTTTCAAGTAACAAGTTAATATTATTTGCTTGATTAAAAGGGAAGTGATGGATTAATTCATTGATACGTGCAGGTTTTTTGTTGTTGCAAATGCAGTAGCTGTGGGATACATAGGGTTCTCCTTGCCCTTCTCTATAATCTGCGTTATTCGACCTCATGCAATAGGGCCAAGGCTACTACTCGTTATCCTTGACACAGTAATATGACTAACAAATTCTACTGTTCAATACCTCGCATGGCATAATGATGAGTGCTTTTTAGTTTTTTTGTTCGTGACTTCCGAGTGTTTGTTCATTCAAATTATAACACTTATAAAATCTTAGTATTTAACCTTTTAAACCTAAATATGAGACTAATTATCGTCCATATAATAATTAGCATGTCATGTGATCCGTCCTTTTAAATCTAACTAATAATTTATTTATTTTTTATTAATGAAACAACGCTCTAGAAATGATCAGTTAGATGTATCTAGGAAATTATAATTATCACTCTTTTTCTCCTCCCACACACCCATGTTTGATCATGTTTGTTATCTCTCTTTAATTTCAAATCCGACCGTCATAAATAAAGAGGGTTGTGTCATGAGAGGCTAAAATGGATGTGTGAAAACCTACTCCCATGGTATATATATCATAACTCTATTGTTAAAGAGGTCCCCGTTTTCTCTTTGCTTAATTATATATGTTGATCTGTATATATATATATATATATATATATTGACTTACTGAAAGCATTGCAAAAACTAATTGCTAAATGCTTTGCAGGTGATGGTTGCTCTAATCATAGCTGCCGATGGCGCTTCATCTGCAATTGTGTACTTGGCGCATAACGGGAACGTGAACGCAAACTGGCTTGCTATTTGCAGGCAATACAACGACTTCTGCCAGGCACTCAGTGGGGCTCTTGTATCTTCATTTGTCGCAGCAGTCTTTTTTATGTTTCTGGTTGTGAATTCTACTTTCGCTCTTAAAAGAAAATGAGAAATTAAGGAGCTTAATTACTGTATAATTAACACTGCTAAATTGCAGAGATGCATATTGTCGATTGTGTATGTTATTAATTGCATTAAAATTAAGATGAATGTAAAATGATATAATTGTAATGAAAGATTTGTGTGAATTGGCTTCAAAGAATATGGTAAAAGTAGTTTTTGTTCATTTATTTTGTTTTTCTTTCTTTATTTCCTTTATTTTTAAGATTCTTTCATACTAATTAACCACTATGGTACTTTAGGTTAGGGTCGTACACCTCCACAATGAATATCAAATAGAAGAAAGAGTGCACGATTACCATTTTGGATTGCACTCTAATTCATGTTTAGATGAAGAAATTTAAGAGTACTATGAAATATTAAAATGATTGAATTCAATTTTCTAGAATTTGTGATGATTTTTGTCTAACTAATCTAAAAGTATAATAATATAAGTACCAGACCAAGAGCATGTGATAGATAGCAATCTATTACAAGCATCACCCGTGGTCGATGAGTTGTTGTCTGATAGTGGTGGGGTAGTGGTGGCAACGATGGTTGTAAGTTAGGGGTTCCGGCAATGTGGGTTTGATGGGGTTGATAACCATGGGAATGTGGTGGTGGTGGCACTAGTAATGGTGAGTTGTGGAAGTTGTGGCAATGATGGTAGCCATGGACAATGTGGTAGTGATGGTGGCGATGATAGTGGTGGGGTTGTGGCGATAGTAGAGGTAGACGTGTAGTTATGTTTTTTAATTTTAAAACTCTTTTACTCTTGAAATTTAGAAAGAAAAACTACATTGGAATTCATACAGTTTTCTATCACACGAAATTATAAGTATATAATTAATAATATTAATAAATTCCCTTCTCACCTTCTCCCATGAAATACTAAAAATGCCCTTAGCTTTAAAATCACTCTTTAAATATTCAAAAATGTTATTGATCTCTGGAGGAGTTCCAATTAAGTTCATGTTATCACATATACCGTCACTATTACAATACCCAGAATTTGGTTTCTTTGGAAAAACACGGGCATTTTTGGTTATTAATATAGCTTTTCCTGGTCAAAACTTCATCAAGAAAATTATACCACATCAGGCTAGATTGTTTTAATCCATATAGTGAACGACTTAAATTGATGGAGTACATGTTCCGTGATTGTGTAGTTGCTTTGGGCGCATCAATATCGTCTTCATCGCAATGATCTCCTCCTCCCTCGCCATATTTTTCCTCTTAGTGTTAGCTTTGTGTGTTTCTTTCGTTTTAGTTGGCGATTTTCACAAATGCAAATAAATAATGAAAAATATTGAAATTTTTTAATCAAATTATTTAGGTAATTAAGACCTCCTTCATTAGCACTCTAAAGAAGCTTATTTAGTTTTACTTAAAAAATAATAATTTAGCAGCAGCACTCAAAGAGAGGAAAATACATTGAACAGGAAAGAGAGATTTGCTAGGCACAATTGCATGTTTAAAAAAAAAAAAAAATCAAACTTCCCTTTCTCATTTCTTATTTGATGTACAAAAGATGTCCAGACTCAAAAGTCTCGTTCATAACTCTTCTTTTTTTTTTTTTTTTTCATAGAGCAGTCCATATATCATAGAGCTATATAAAACTAGAGAATTAATACAATCTTCAACATATAAGCTAGCTTTTATATGCAAAATTGAAACAAACAAGCATATTACATGTTGGTATAATTTGTTTACACAGATTAACAAGAGTGGCTAGTAACCTAATTTACAAAGCTTACTAAAAGCCTATGAAACATGTCTCACAAGCTTAACAAAAACTCATTCAAACCTGTGTTACAAACTTCCACAAAAACACACTACAGCCTAGTTTGTAAAGGGAATTACTTTTCCTTAAACATTCATAAGGTTGAACAATACGCTGAGGTGTTGAAGAGTACAAATCCTAGATCAACAGTGATTATTAAAACTCAGATAAGAGGTGATATAAGGAGATTCCAGAGAATGTATGTAATACCCATATTTAAAAAAAATGATTATATATGTGTGTTTGTATGTGCGAAGTTATTTTTATGTAATAATTTTATTGGGTTCCTTATATACGCTATGAGTACAAAAAACTCATATTTTTAGCATGTAAGTTAGTAGAGATTCTTTCACTACAAGAATATATCTAAGCCTAGCTAGTACTTTTAAACTCAAATTTCTCCAACTAGAGAGGTTTCTAGTGTTTGCCATCCTCATTGTAGTTTTGTAATTTTGTACGTAACTTATATATGTATTAGATTGTTTTTGGTAGGCCTTAAAGTTGTTTTTACTTGCTAATGGCAATTATCATTGCTATAGTCGAGCTTCAGGTGGGATTATTTGAGTAATTTTTGCTTGATTCATTTTTCTCCCAAGGATGAGGTGGAAGTTGGTAATTAATAGAAGTTAATGATTTGGGTGAAGAGGTGGAAGTCTACTTATGGATGAGTTGGCAAGTTTGTAATCATTAGGAATTTAGTAGTTAATGATTGGTGATGATTCATCCTCCAAATTTGGAGAGGTGTGAGTCTAGATAGGGCCATAGACTATGTACGTGTATCTATTAGCATGCATGTGCCATTGTATTGTGATTTATTGGAGTGCTTACTCACTAGCCTAGGGGAATTTCAATTATTTGTCTATATTCCCTCTTCAATGCTTTAATCTATCATTTCAAATATTCCAATGATATGATAACAAATGAGTTTCAGACATCAAGTGGGACGTAAGTGGCCAAATAGCAACAAGAGATATGATTACATTCTCTATAAATGAAGGAGAAGGTCTAGGGAAGAAGAACTTCAAACCAGCAAAGAAGAAATCCTCCTTTTCTCATATCCCTCCTTCTTTATCATCCAATTTGAGTAGATTATGTAATGGCTTTTCAAGCTACTTTCATTGTATTTTGTAAATCTCATTTTTAGTAAATTACAAATATAAACACAAGCCTAGTGGACATAGCCAAATTGGCGAACCACTTAAATTCTATGTTTTTCTACTTATATTTTGAGACCATTGCCATGAAAATCACCTTCAACCAACAATGGAAATTCCTTAGAAAAAAACCTACAACTAAAGAAATGAAATCCCACTAATCACCATGAACCTATATTTCCTCTCTCACTTGAACCCCAAATCAAATTCAGTTACGTAAACTATTATTCATAGAAAACTGGATTTTTTAATTGGATGCAACCATAACTCCACACCAAATTGATCAAGGCAATCAACCGTCTTTCTCCGTCTCCTCACTGGTGTTCAAACACTACAAACAAACGCTGCCCTTGGCCAGTCAAGCCCATCAATGGCAGCCATGAAGGACGACAACAATGTTGTGGCTAAGCACTCATGAGAACCACTTCATGTGCATCATTTGTTCCATCCAAAGTGTCTATTACGACACACACAGAGAGAGAGAGAGAGAGAGAGAGAGAGAGAGAGGATGAGGAGGAAGGGGGGTCAATTTGTAGAAAAGAAAGGAGATAGAAATTGGGAAGAAAAGGATTAAGCAGTGGTTCTTGAGGGAATAAAAAGCATAAGCAAAAAGATGATAAAAAGACATTAAAGGGTAGAGTGTTGTGTGGGAGGAAGAAGAGAGTCGGTTGAAAGAAAGTGATCAAGTTTGTGAGTGAGAACATAAGGGAAGTGAGATGAGAAGAAGTAGAAGTGGTGGGCTAAAATAAAAATAAAAGACGATGTTTGGAAAGGGAAAAGCTAGAGACATGATTTCATGCCTTGTTGCCTTTGAGACATATATTTCACTCTAACGATTCTCTTCTCTAACAATGATGTCTATTCCTTTCCAATAAAGATCAAGATGGCCGGAGGGGTAGAGGAAGACCTAGGAAAACTTTGGAAGAGACTCTAAGAAAAGACTTAGAGTATTTGGATCTAACGGAGGACATGACACAGGACCGAGCACAATGGCGTTCTAAGATTCATATAGCCGACCCCACTCAGTGAAGAATGCTTTGGTGTATTTAACACAATACGTTGAAATGAAGCAAAACTTATTTATTGATATCTCCGATAAGTTACAAATATGTACATATACATGAGTCAAAATAAACAAACAAGAAGGAGCCTTCACAAAGGTTGCTTAGGAGAAGTCTCAGCAGTCGGTAGAGCCCCAGAAAGAGAAGGCACCGGAGAGGGATCATTTGGAGCCTCAGTACTGGACAGAACCCTAGAAAGATGAGGCATCGAAGGTTGATCATTTGGAGCTTCAGTACGCGGTACAGCCCCAGAAGACGAAGGCAATAAATGCCTTTGGAACAAACCCACAAACCGCTGATGATCAAGTAAAACCTGACCATCAGATTCCTTCATCTGGTCAAGCTTCCTCTTCATGTTTGTAGCATAGTCATGTACGAGCCGGTGCAACTGTTTATTCTCATGCTTGAGCCCTCTAATCTCTTGTTTGAGACTCATCACTTCAGCCTCCAATGATTCAACTTGGCGGGTTCGAGCAAATAGGCGCTGGGCCATATTAGACACAGAACCTGCACACTGAACACTTAGAGCCAGAGAATCCTTAACAGCTAACTCATCAGACCGTTTGGAATGTAGTCTGTTATCTTTGGGAGTGAGAAGGTTCCTGGCCACCACCGCAGCAGTCATATCATTCTTCATCACGGAATCCCCAACAGTAAGCGGACCAGTAGGGGATAAGAAGGATGGGCGCCATATGTTGTCTGGAGAAGGCGTGGCTGCCTCTTCAACAAGGTTCAAGTCAAAACGACGGTCGGAGGGGCCAGACATTTTCAAAGGTGTTGAAGAGATAAGAGGTCGGACAAATCAAGATCTTAGAAGTGCAAGAAGGGAGCTTCTACTGGTGAAGATTCAAGTGTGCTTTGGAACTTAATGCCAGCCTCTATAAAAATCTGCACTCGACGGAGCTTCAGAAATCAAAGAGGCGCCTGCCCAGAAATCGAAGAGGCGTTTGCTTTCTCAAAAGCTGGGTTGCTCAGAGACCACGAAGGTCGATCTCAGAAATCGAAGAGGCGTTTGCTTTCTCAAAAGCTAGGCTGCTCAAAGACCACGAAGGCCGATCTCAGAAATCGAAGAGGCGCTTGCTTTCTCAAAAGCTGGGCTGCTCAGAGACCACGAGGGCCGATCTCAAAAATTGAAGAAGCGCCTGCTTTTT